AACATGACCACTAGAAATTAAATACTTAAATACTGGACATAAATACTTAATATTCATGAACAAATGACACTTTCAACATGAGTTTCACACTACAAGTTTATTGATATATATATGTATACACACACACACACACACACACACACACACACACACCATACAATTAACTCACTTTAAAAGATACAATTTGCTTGAAGCCCAGTAGGGATGTTGAGGCAGGAGGATCGCCAAGGTCAAAACCAGCCTCAGCAACTTATAGCAAGGCCCTATAGGTAATTTAGCAAGCCTCTGTTTCTAGGTAAACTGTAAAGAGGGTTGGGGATATGGCTCAGCGTTAAGCTGGGTTCAATCCTTAGTACCAAACAAACAAACAAAAACAAAAACAATTCAATGGTTTTTAATATTTTCAGATTTGTGCAATCAGCGATTCTGGTATATTTTCATTCCGTATAAAACACAACAAACAAACAAAAAACAACCCTCATATCTGTAGCAGTCACTCCCATTTTTCCCCACACTTCACAGTCCCTGGCAATCACACTAACCAACTTTCTATCTCTACAGATTTCCAACATATATTTAATGACTAAGGGATTCCCTTATCATCCCAGTAACTGAAAGGATTTAAATTCTAAAATTAATTGCTCGCCATATGCGACGAGGGCTAATGATTCAAAGCATCACTTGGTTAAGCTCTCGTGCCGGGTCTCTGAAATTCCATCTTGGCCTTTACAGATTTACTTTAGTCAATAAACAAGACTTCGTTAACACTATCTTAAAAGCAATTGCTGACATTTAGTTCTTTGCAGAGTCCATTATAACAATGGGCTCAAAGCCACCGCTTCGTCTAGCCTAGCAGAATAAAACTGGAACTTTAAAGCCAGGGCAAATCTCGTCCATTACCCCCTGGGAACTTCCCACGGATGGTGGTGTGTCAGCGGGCAGGCCTGGAGAACCCTACCTGGTGGCTTTTTTTTCTGAACAAAGTAAAACGCGGAACCCAACAGAGTCCAGGTGCCCAGTGCATAGACCATAGACATCCGCCGGTACCAGGACGTGGCCCGCTCCGGGTTCATGGCGCGGCACCTCCTAGAGCCCTGTCGCCTGAAGCCCAGAACGGAAGCAGCTCTCCGGACCAGTCCGTTACCGGAGCCGCAGCCACCAATGAGAAACAGGCCTCKCGGCCACTTCCTGCCTTAGCCGCGGTGCATCCTGGGGCGTGTAGTTCAGAAGTCGCTCTCCACTCGCACGCTTGAGCTGGAAATTTTGGGATCCGAGACTAGTGCTAGCTACAGCACGCAACAAGTGGTGGGGAACAGATGGTAACTTTTCAGAGCCGAAACCTCTCACTTGAAGAATTGCGATGCTATTCTTACTTAAGTCATATAGCATTTGAAAAGGTTCATTCCGTTTCTCTTTCATTTGTCGTATTTGAGAGGATACCACTTCTCTCGAAGCAACTCTGCTTTCCCTCATTTTCGTGTCCGGAATTCTGTCTGGGTGCACTTTGGTTACCTCCAAGTCAAAGCTCATCTTTCCTCTGTGTTCTGGATGACATTCTTTTACCTCCGCGGGACCTTTCCCATCAATTACACCTGAATGCCCACCTCGCTCCCATTTTCGTTCTATTGACTTTTATCGTTCATCATACAAACCGTGCCCATGTCTCAAAAAATGAAAACATTGTTGACTCCATGCACCTTCAGCTTTTATTCATTCATTTCTTCAAAGTATAGTTTACTCAATAGACTGAACAATCTGAGAGCAAGGCTGGTGTGTTTGGTCCAAAATAGGCTCAGTAAATTGCCAAAACTAAAACTTTTTAACACTCCTCAAACTTGATTTCTAAAGAGCATTTTTGACACTGACACGAACACCTGCCAGCCTCTTTTCAAAGCCTGAAAAACATTTTCAGCTAAGTGAGGTGGTGCACTGTAATCCCAGCTACTCCTGAGCCTTAGGCAGGAGGATCTCAAATTTGGAGCCAGCCTGGGAAACTTAGAGAGAGCCTGCCTCAAAATAAAAAGGGCTGGAGATGTAGCTCAATGGTGGAGTGCTCTTGAGTTCAATGTCCAGTAGGAGAGGCAGAGAATGGGGAGACAGAAATTTCTTTTGGTATCCTTCAGAACTCTGTACATTGCTCACCTTTTACAAATTGGCATTCTACACCTACAAAATCTAATTCTAAAGGTATAATTGTCTTAAATGTGAAGGCTAAAACCATAAACCTAGAAGAAAACATAGGAGAAAAATCCTTGCCACCTTGGGATAAGCAAAGATTTCTTAGAATACAAAAAACATGATTCACAAAGCAAAAACTGATAAATTGGACTTTTTCAAATAGAATTTTAGCTTTTCACAAGTCACAGTGGAGAAAACAAAGACAGAATAACATTTTTGAAACTCATATATCTGTCAAGGCCTTGTATTCCAGAATGTTAGGACTCCTAAAAACTTAATTATAAAAAGACAACCCAACTAAAAAGCAGATAACACTTTTGAATTCAATAAAAGGTATACAAATGGTCAATATGCGCAGGAACACCAGTTATCACAGAAATGAAAATAAAGCACCCATTAGAATAACTAATTTTAGATTGAGAATACACCAAAAGTTGCAAGGATATGGAGATGGTGAAACTCATAAATTTACTGGTGAGAACACAAAATGTTAACAAACTCTTAGCAAGGCTAGCAGTTTTTAAACCTGAACATGTACCTACCACACAACCCATTCCATTCTTATTTACCCAAGAGAAATAAAAACACCTCTGTCCACAAAGACATGTATATGGACGTTCTGTTTTATTCATAGAAGCAAAAAAAGGAAGCCACTCAAATGTCTATCAACTAATGAATGTATAAATGAAGTGACATACCACTTGACAATAAAAAGGAACTACTGAAACATGTACCACAAATGAAGCTCAAATGGATTATGCTACATGAAGAAGCCAGGCACAAAAGAAACCAAACATAAAATTCTAGAGAACTCATTTTCATTTTCTTATAGATCAATCATTACCTTCTAATGTCATTCACTTCTAATTTTTTATTTGTTGGTCTTCCCTAACTAGAACATAAGCTCCATGGAGGCAGGAATATTTACCTCATTGCTATATTGCCAGCACCTAGAAGACTACTCCATAGAGCAAGTACTGGGTAGTTATTTGTTGACGGATTGAAATAATAGCTCCAAGGTTCTAAGAGAAGATTATATTGGGCCTAGAATTTTAGATCCAGCAAAGTTGCCAAATATGGAAACAGAATAGACTTGCAGATATGCCTAGATCCAATGAATTATTTCCCATGTACTCTTTTTAGGAAAAGTTATTTGAGATAGCAAAATGCCTATGGGATAAAGATAGAGTAGAACTAATGCAGGATTCCAAATGAAAGAAACTCCTGGATGACAGTTATGCATCACATCTAGAAAGCAACTGGACATCTACAAACCTCTAAAGGAAAAAAAAAAAAAAACGGACTAATTCTAGAATTTTTCAGTAATCAGATAAGGAAAAAAAAAAACTCTCAAAAAGCAATCCAAAATGAGAAATTCCAAGGGAAACAAGTCTAGGAAATCATAAACCAAAAGAAAAGCAAGCTAGCGTGTGGCATGATGAACACATAAGAAAAGTGCCTTTGATTTTATCATTTGGAATGTTTCTTTTAGTGGCATGGGGATTGACTGGGACAACAAACCTCTGGAGAAAAAAATGTATTACCACCCCCTCAATTGGACATGAACAATATTTACATCATCACACTGTGTAAATGTTCTTTATTAGCCTTCACAATCAACTTAGAGACAAAAACAAAATTATGGTTATAGGCCAAAATACAGATTTTATCAATCTTGATAATATAAAAATAAAGGTATAGCTAACCAAAACTGGAGGGTAGAGACAAAGGTCTTAATACTCTCATTCTATGAAAATAGGAAAGATAACCTGCTAAACATGAATATATCAACAAAAAATATATAAGCAAAGAGAAGGTCTGAAATTGTCAGAAGAGTAGGTTTAGGTTTAGGGAGTGAAGGAAATTGTTACTTATTATAAGTTCTTTAGGATAAAGTGTTTTGACCATATATATGTATTATTTTGATTAAAAAAACAGTACCTGTTCAAGTTATTTTACTTGATACGTAAGATTGTGTATTCACTGTTGTACCCACTTATGCTTTCTTTTTCCCCCCTCATTACTGGGAACTAAACCCAGGACCTTGTGCATGCTTGGCAAGCACTCTGCCACTGAGCTACATTTAAAAAAATTTTTATTTTGATATGGAGTCGCCTAAATCATCCAGGCTGGCCTGGAACTTGTGATTTTCCTGTCTTAGTCTCCTACATCACTGAGATTATAGATGCTCACCATCATACTCTGCTTCCCATTAGTCACTCCTGATGTCTACCTGGGCTGGACTCCTGACATGGAAGTTACTTGTGAATCAGGGTAGTACCCCTCCACACTGCCTCAACAGAATTTCACACATTTCATACTTTCCATAGATCTCAACATCTGGGCAGTAAGTAAGAATTAAGTTCAGAAAACACGTCTTAAGGGAGTTAACACACACACACACACACACACACACACACACACACAAAGACCTCAGGAAATCAAATTTGTTAAAATTAGCATTATTTTAGCTAATGGCTCCAGATTTATTTCTTCTATGATCATTTAAGTTTTCATCTGAACAAGCTGCCAAAATACATCACCTCTGATTTTATACAGGCCCCCCAAAATTTAGGATACAAAAAGCACAGAAACATCTTCAAGTACCAAAACATTTATGACTTCACAATTTCATGGTACAGGAAGAGGGACACAAATAAAGAATACAAATAAATTATTATCTGAAGACTTACATACAAAACTTCCTTTGATTATTTGTTAAAATCTGCTAGAAAAGTGAAAGGAATGTTATTAAGCATTTATAAACAATTGTGACCATGATTTGACAGTGTTTTCTTCAATTTCCTGGTCACATCTTTAGCTTAACAGGCACTGGAGACAGCCAATTTCTTCAAATGATCCATGAACACCTGGAGGCTGACATCGTCAGTGAGGATGGGTGCTCCAGTTTCCTGAAATTTAATGATAAAGGCTTACTGACAGACACCTGAGAAGCTGGTGAGAATTCACAAGTTTTAAAATACCTTTTCACAGGTCTTCCCTTTGCTCTACATCACTCTCATTCTCTGCCTTGCTAACTACTTTCAACTGAAGCATAATTTCATCACAAAAGCCTTCCCTGGTTCACTGAGACTAGGCCACAACCTTTGCGCATTGAAGACACAGTTTTGAGCATAAGCCTTTCTATTTTACCCTCTCTCACCATTCTGAGAGCTGAGTTCCCACCAGATATGAGCTCCCTGAGGCCCACATACTCTTCTTCTTTGTGCCCCACTACTCTGCCAGCATAGAGCTAGAGCCCCGCTCTTAAGTGCTCTGCTTACAACAGGAGCTTGAGAATGGTGTGCTCATCACAGATGAGTAAGTCAGCATCTCCACTGACAGATCGATATTTGTAATATCGGAAAAAACTTATGATTTAATTAACACTGTGAAAAGAACTGGATAGAAAACTTGATTTGTAAAGACAGATAATATACATATATTTTAYATATAAGTATAATTGTATTAATCAAATACAAATACAATATATAATATACATAGTAGATACAATGTATAATTATAAATTATACTTATATATATGGATATATATACACAAACAATAAACAAAATTACATTACCTAGAAAGAAGCTAGAAATACTAACTATAGGTAATTTTATTTTACTTGTTTTTTCTAAAATTCAAATTTTCTAAAATTAAACTGTATTATTACAATTAGAAAAATGTAAACACGATCAAAATGTTATAAGAGAACTTCCAGTTCTGGGAAATAGGAGTTGATAATGTAATTTTTTTTCTATTCCTCCCACTAAATACAACTTAAAACCTTGGACATTTTCTATAGAAAACATCAGAAGATTTGGATGTAGCTCTGTTGTAGAGCACTTGCCCAGCATATACAGGGTCCTGGGTTCAATTCCCAATACTGGGGGAATTGTGAAGGAGGGGAGAAAAAAAGCAAATAGTCCAACTTGGCTATGGAAAAAAAATACAAGAGATTTCTTTGAAAAAGATACATAGATGGTAAAGAACCTACCTTTGTTAAATGAACATGAAAAGATGTTCAATATCATTAGTCATTAGGAAAATGTAAATTAAAATCACAATAATAGGTCATTGGACACCCATGAGAATAGCCAAAATAAAAATAATGATAACACTAAATACTGGTAAGGATGCAGAGAGACTGGATCACTCATATATTGCTAGTAGGTATATAAAATAATATAGGTACTTTGGAAAAAATTGGCAGTTTCTTTAAAAACTAAATATGTAACCACCATATGACCTAATAAATATACTCCTGAGCATTCCTCTCAAATAAATAAAGATTTATGTTAAAAAAAAAAAAATCTGAGCCAGGCATGGTGGCACACACTTGTAACTGCAGCTCAGGAGACCGAGGCAGAAGGATCATAATTTCAAGGCCAGCCTGGGCTACTTTACTTAGCAAGACCCTCAAAATAAAAAAGGACTGGGGATGCAGCTTCATGGTAGAGTTTATTAGGCCTTAGGTTCAACCCCCAGCACTACAAAAAAAAACAAAAAAAACAAACCTGTGTTAGCAGCTGCCCTTCAATGAATGAAGACTAAATAAACTGGGACACATTCATACTTACTGTGAATTAAAATTTGGCAGGTAAAAAGGAACAAATTGTTACATGTAACAACTTGGATGAACCTCTAGATAATTATGCTGGGGAAAAAGCCAATTCGAAAGGTTACATGCTGCGTGACTTCATATTTATAACATTGTCGGTGACAAAATTATAGAAATGGTGAACAGGTTAGCAGTTGCCAGGTGTTAAAGAAGAGACGGAAGCAGGAGGGAAATGAGTGTGACTATAAAAAGGCAGTTAGGAGGGGCTGGGGATGTGGCTCAAG